CCAACAAGGGCACGTCCCCAGCCTGTGTGACTCCCTGCCTGCTGGCCGCTGCTCAGCAGAGAGGGCTGTGGCTGCAACGGCAGCATGGGTGCTGCACACTGGCTGGGGTAACTTCATTATCTGCCTTTTCTGTTTCTAGGTGATGGCGGTGAGCGCTGCTAATATTTCACTTGCCATTTCAGGACCGTTTCCTGCATTTCTTGTGAAATAATCGTGTCCTTTTAGGTTGGCGTCAAAATAAGTGGGAAAAGCTAAGTAGAATAGTAATCTTCAACCTGGAAAAGAGATGGTTGAAAGAGAGTAAAACAAAGGACTGTTCAATCACAGCAATAGCGGAGAGAGTGTGCAGGGCTCATACACGTGCATTTCTCATACAAGGACAAGTTCCACATGGAGCTAAGAGGGACATGGGCAAAGAAAAGGAGATGCTGACCCATGTGGTAAGACAGTGGGGCTTGCCGTGTTAAGGCAGGTTAGGGTGGAGGATGATGAGGATGAAAAATTCGACATGTTTAAGGAAAAACTGGAAAAGTGGAGAAGTTTGTCAAACAGAAATCCACTGTGAGTTATTCAGTGTTGAAACAAACAAGCAAACAAACAAAAACCAAACAAAAAACCCATTTTTTAATTCCCCAAGTTTCAAATTGAAGGTTAGCAGAAATTTCTGCTGAAGTATGACTGTATGGTTGTTGGATACTTACACCGGTGGTGGTTGGTCTCGGCAGATACAGCTGTTCTCATGCTTTTTGTGGTATTTGTGAAATGTGCTTTAAAAAATAGTACTCTAAAGAAAGAAAAAATTGGTTGGTAAAGAAAAAATTAAAAAACACCAGCATTTTGTTTCCTTTTTCGTGCAGTTTTATTTCAGGTTCAGGTTGCTTTGTCTTCTGTGTTGGACCTCAAATGTATTTATCGGCACCTAACATTTCTGCTTGAAACATAATTTTTGTCGCCCTATCTGCATGTTTTGAATGACAAATAAGATCTTGTTTTCTCTACAAACAGACTGGTTTTAAAGTTGCTAATCCACCTTATCAGTAGCAAAGGCACCTTATCAGAAAACACTGCCTGGTTTATTCACCTGTCTTATGCAAACCTCTTTCTCCAATGTGTCTGTCCTCTGAAAATTGACGTGCAGAGGAGGTTATTTAAACTTCAGTGTGTGATGTTTCTGGATAAATTACAGTGATGAATTATTGCTGTAATTAGTGTATATTCACAAGGTACAGTTTGTCATTAAACAGTTTGTTCACTCAAAGTCTGTTCTTTCATAGACTGGTCACGGATCAGTCTTTGGATATAATTTGGGTTTATTTTGTGGAATTTGCAGTGTTTTGAAACTGTTTACTGACGTTGTATTGAATACTGTGGTCTTATGACGTTCTTTTGCTATTCTAAGTTCCATAACAAATACTTTTAATGTTTGTTTTCCCTTTCAATAATGTAAAAGGATGAGTATCAAGTTCAGTAAACAACTCTTAAGAGCTTATTAAGATATATCGGAAAAAATTACCACAGTTCTCAAGATTGATCCTGCACAATGAAGATAGATGTCATTTTGATAAGCTAAGTTCAAGGTCATTTGCCGTAATGAAATCTGTCCTTTTACTTTACTTCCGTGCTAACAAAGGTAATTTCTGCTGCCCATGTAACAATTGAAATTACATTGCACTGAATAGAAAGAAAAGATCATTGGAGTTGTCATATCAGAAATTGCTGTTTCTCAACTTTTTCTCGGAATTGCGAATTTGGGGCTTATTTATGCTCCAGAAATTTACATCACTCTGGCTACACAAATTAGCTTTCAAATGGAAGCAAAAGTAATTTTAAGGTCCATTTAAACCCAAAGCAGGACAGAGTATTCTCAGAATGAATAAAGATCACGCTGTTTATGTTTAAATAACTTAAATTCCATCAGCGTCCTAGGTATAGGCAATTCAGAACAATATTTCCCCTATTGGTATTTGAACAAAAAATCCTATTCCCCTAAGGGAAAATACAATAAAGTGTGTGTCAATGTGAAGATGTTTTGTATTTTTTTATGGTTCCATAGTGCCATTTTTTACCTTCACTCTTCCTTTGGGCCAGACTGTTCTTCCCTTATCTCGAACTTTTCAATTCCCTTTGCTCTGTTACGATATTTTTTAAGTAATCTTCCTCTTCAAATTGAGCATATGCCATGTGATGCTTTAAAAAAGCAGGACCCGAAGGTCAATGCCTAGGTCCCTTTCTTGCTTGCTGCATACACTCACTGTGTAACTTCATAAACCAGGGTACTGGGAAGTTTATTTGCCTGGCTTTTGTCTAGGAGGGTATGTGTTCTTCTGAGTAAGTGGCAAGGCTAGGATACACATCCCTTACTCGCACCAGTCACCTGCTCCTAGCCTGTCCCAGCCTGCGTCCTGGTTTTCCAAGATGTGCGCTTTCCTCCCTTCACTCTCTGCTGCTGAGCCTCATTCTCTGACAGCTCTTTCACACAGGTTGTCTAGAGGTCTGCTGCTCTGTCCCTGTGAAAACCCTTTCCATCCACACTTTCCACTCCCTTTAAACTGCTCCTAATGGCTGTTTGCCACCAACTAGCAGCGCGAGTGCTTTGTCCTTTCTTTTTGTCATTGTCTGCCGTATCAGCTCTGCCTGTGATCCCTTTTCTCTCATTTCTGTCTTTCTTGGCTTTCAATTACTCCATCTTCTCCCGAATCTCTGCAATCTCTACTCAAGCACATCAACTGGAGATCCTCCTGCGTGGAGGCTCTTGCCAGCCTCTCTTGGTTTCTTACTCGTACACTTCACACCTTCCTTCTGTTGTACCTCCTCTGTGTATTGACCTGCTCCCAGCCGTCTTTTGTGAAGTGAGAATCCTGGCCTTCAATTCATGTATTTGAACATTATTTACATGTTGTAATAATCAGAGAAAAGCACGGGTATTTTTGAAGACATTTCTTCCCGCACGTATCATAGCATTTTCATGTGTGAACGAGAACGTTTGCTATTTATTGTAAGTTGTTCAACTGGCCTCACGCAGATCATCATGTCAATGCTTCTGTGACAGAGAACTAAAAATCCTCTTCGTGTGGATGACTTGGCCATTGATAGAAGTGTACATTCTTGTTTTAAGCTTAGAAATTTAACCAGTGTTCCTGCTTTACGTGGGTAGGAGTTTATACCCTGGTTAGTTGCCATCCAAGGCAGGTTTTTTTAAGCAAAATTTACTGGCTTTTTTTTGTCAGGTGTCACTATCATAGATTTTTATTATTTATTATATTTTAATGTTGCGTTTTCAAGGATCTCTAATTCCACAATTGTATCAAAGCCCTGACTGCTTCAGACGGACTCTGTGGAGGTGCAGCAGTCAAGAATGATGGAACCTCTTGGCGACCTGGGATCAATAGCTGCAAACCGATGGAAAGTGCAGAGCACTGAAGTGGAATTTGTGTCTTTTGGGCTCTTCCTGTCTGAATAATACCCCGAGGCTTTCTTGATTCGCTCATAATTGTGGAAAATTTAAATGGCTGCTTTAATTAATCCTTCAGCAAATAGTCATTTGGTTAAAAAAATATCATAAGTTATAAGGTGATATAAGATGCTGGAGGGAGTGGAGCATCTCCTGCTGAGGAGCGGCTGAGGGAGCTGGGGCTCTTGAGCTTGGAGCAGAGGAGACTGAGGGGTGCCCTCATTCCTGGGGATCCATTGGGAAAGGGCAGTGTCAGGAGGAAGGAGCCAGGCTCTGCTCTGGGATGGCCAATGCCAGGACAAGGGGCAATGGTCCCAAGCTGGAGCACAGGAGGTTCAAGCTGAAGATGAGGCCAAACGTTGTGAGTGTGAGGGTTCTGGAGCATGGCCCAGGCTGCCCAGAGAGGTTGTGGAGTCTCCTTGTGTGCAGACACCCAAAGCCCTGGCCGTGTTCCTGTGTGACTGCTCTGGTGATCCTGCTCTGGCAGGGGTTGCACTGGGGGAGCTTTCCAGGTCCCTTTCAACTCCTCACATTCTGTGATTCTGTGATAAGGGAATGAATTTCTTGTTTTGAAAACAGGACAAAACTACGCTTGGATTGTGTGTAGCCATTGGGATCCCCATCCACATGGACTAATTTGAAAGTCTGGAACCTTGCTCTGTTTTCTAGATATTAGAGGGGAAAAGTATTTTCTAGTCACCACTATTTTCCTAGGAAATGGGATCAGCTAAGAGTTTTAATGGGACTGAAAACTGAGATCTAGTCTTCACTGTGCTGTTCTATTATATAGTGTTTAATAACTTTATATTCAAGCTGTATTTATGGCTCTTTGTAGAGCTATGGAGCAGAAGAGAGGGAGATGGACATTGACAAGGAAATACCTGTCTTCTGTCCAGGGAAATTATGTGAGATTTGTTCAAAAGCAAGTAACTTAAAAAGTCACATACAGGCAAATCATTGTTTCCATGAAAATAGTTTCCTGCTCTGAAATGAAAATATATTTAGCAATTAAATAAAAGGAAAAACCAAATTGGGTAATCTCTAAACTACAACTCGGTCTGGTTTTTACTGCACTTTGGAATTATCACTGGCTTTATTACACATTCTGGCTTGTTATATACAACATATTTTCATCTTAAACCAAAAACCAGTTCTCTCCCTGGTGAATGACTCCAGTAATTACAAAACCACCTAATTGATCATTGATGTTGTTTACTTGCTGCTTTGGTGAAACAGACAGCACTTGTTATGGCTTCCGAATTGTTTTATTATTTTAGGATTCTGTAAGAAAAACCATTTTTGTTTTACTTCAAAGAGATCACACTTAAGCCGATGCCTCAAACTTCCCAAGGGAATTCTTGTCTGCAGATTTTCCAGCTGTGCTGTGGTTGTGTATAAGTACTTTGAGCTTCTGTTTTATTTCAATCTATTATTTGTGTTTACAAATTATGTCTTCAGCATTGAAAGCTCTGCAGAAAATCAGGAAGTGTTTGTTTCTGAATACATTTCATGTCTCCCTCCCTCTTGTTTTCATTCTGTATTGCTGCAGTCAGTGCGCTGAACCACGACAAGAGCTCAAGCTCGGCAAACTTCCAAGATGGGGAGGATCCGCCTGACAGATGTGTCTTGGAAGAGTCTGAGAGTCCAGGTGAGAGGCATTTAAAGACAGTCACCAAGTTTCAAGGGATAAATCTGGCACAGCTTTTGGGTCTGTAAAAGAAGCACATTGTAATGCTGTTTCCTTTTTAGCAGCTGCAATGTCAAATTAATGGTCACCTCCAGGGGTCACAGTGTGGAGCTGTTATCCTTTCCTCTTTCATCAAGAATTCAGGTCTTAGAAAGGATAAAGGCTTTATGACCAAAAAGAAAGCTGACACTACTAGTTCATTATAATTAGTTTTGGACTACGCTGCTTACTTAATATATGTACAATGTCTGACCCTTTGAAGGTAGCATGAGGTTGTGAAAAATTAGGACTGTGCATACTGCAGTTGAATGTATCGGCGGACATTCAAACACTGCGTCTATGGAGGAAAGCAAATTGGTAGCATTAAATAGCTTGATTCTTTTCTTTAAATCAGCTCACAATCATTATTTCATTTTAATAGCTCTTAACATTGATTCAGCTAAATACAGGAACATCCATAAAGTGCGCTCTTTTTGGTGACTAAAAGATTTATCTTCATGTAGTTTCATTATCTTTCTCGTTATGGAACATCTACAAAATTTATTAAATGAATCCCAAAGGGAAACAATTAAGTATAAAGTGTATCAAGTCACAGCTGATTAAAAACATTCTGTGCAACTAAATACTAAGATCTTTTAAGCGAACTGAGCTTGACCCACAACCACCATAGACGTAACCTGCCCGTAGTCCTCATTAGTGAAAGAGTTAAACATCTTTCTTCGCTTGGTATTTTCTTGCCCTGCTTTATCTGGTTTCTGTGTCTCCTCTTGCATCTTTGTGTGCTGATCCGTGTATCATATTTTTGATTCATCGTCTCTGCGGCCTGTCAGCTTAGTTAAGAGATTTCCAAATCTTGCAGCCTGTGCTGACAGGGGGCAGCTGCCAACAGTCCCCTGATCCTTCCCCAAGGAACACTGCTGAGATTTAATTTTCAGTCAAAGGGTGCAGGCTGAAATCCATGTCAGGTCCCCTAAGTCATCTCAGAACCCAGATAGGACCCGTGTCTGGGGGATTATATTTCAGCACACTCCACTCCTCCAAGATTCCTTGGGAGTTCAACCGCTGTCATATACCTGATTTGAACTACATTCCCTTTTCATCTTTTCCACAGAAATGAACACCAGTATATGTTAGAATAATTGAAACCAATGAATTGTAAATTCGTATTCATTTTAAAGCCACATAGGCTTGGTCTCGGTGCTGTACAGCAGAAACCAGCATGAGATTTAGAAAGAAATAGATAATGTACTGGGGAAGGAGCCAAGTTTAATTCCTTCCCACACCTGCAATCATGGCACCTTATGGCACCTCCTTCAGAAACTGTCTATAGTCCCTTCAACAATGATCGTGGGCAAAAACGTGGATTGTTGAAGTTCTGATCTGTTCTGAAGTGAGAGAGAATTAAACCAAGGTGGCACTGAAGTGTTCAGGTGAGAATTTAATGTACCTTAAAGATAACATTCGTTTTAACCCCAAATTGATTCTGTGTGGCAAAGCGTACATGTTTGGACGGGATCTTGAATATCCAGTTCTGCACTCTGCATATCTGTGTGAAGTACTGGGAAGAAGAAAAGCCTGTCAGGAGGTTAATATTGACTGGCAAAAATACATGTTGATAAAGCATCTAAACTTAAAAACTGAGTTCTATTCGGTCCATCTGACATCATTAAACTAGTAATAAACAATGAATTACTCTGGCTTTTGTTTCTGTCCATTCCTGCATTTTAAGACATCTTGTCTTATAGGTCTGAAAACCTCAGGAGATTTCACTACTGGTCTCACTGCTTTCCACTGAGAATTTGTGGCTTGGTTGTCATGGAGACATCGTATTTCTCCAAGAATTGCTCATATTGATCCGTGGACAGGCGTAAATGGCCAGGCGAATGTGAGGAGTAAAGGGGGTTGGGCAGTACTATAAAATGACCAGAGGTTATGGGTCGGAAATAAGCTCATAGCAAACACTTAGGTAAAGAGAAAGAAACAGTTTCATTTTCTTTCAGGATTTCGTTTTTGCACTTTATGCCATTGTCTTCTTTCACTATAGACTGAAAGAAACTTGTTAGTCACTTGTCATGTCAGATCTTTGGTGCTTGTCCTGACACAGCTGTCAGCCTTCCAGCTCTGTGCAGTTCAGGGACACACAACAAAGAGCTAGGAACATGAATTATTTATTGCTCCTTGTGCGGATGAAATTCTGTGATAAGAAATTAAGACACTTCTGACAGAAGTGCTTGTTTGAAAGGAAAGATTTGGTAACACAATACATTTACTTAAAACTTACCACTTACTTTTAGTAGCAAACATTGTAACAATAATATGACATTCAGTTGGCTATGATTTTCTCCAGTATTTCTCAGGTGCTTTAACTTTGAATCCTGTCTTGGAATTTGAGAATGCCTGAGAGGTCAGCATTTGGTGAAACCCGTGACTTTAGAATTTCTTTCATGCATATTCAAAGTCTGGACAAACTTGCAAACTTCATTTGTAAGTTTTCATTAAAAGGTCTACGTATGTGTTTGGCAGAATCACTTGTGCTTCACTTACAGTGTGTGCAAAAGTGATGTTAAGAAATATATTGACTTTATTATCTCTTTGGATGAGGAAAAGGTGAAGAGATGACAGTATGCCTGCAAGGAATTCCAGCTATTCCTAGAAAGGGTTCTTTATTACAGCTTCTACCAGAACCAGGAGGGGCTATAGAGCAGCCGTTAAGAGACATTTCTGGGCAGTGTGTTTTCTAACGTGAAAGGTGCAGTCTCTAACCTTGACAGTAGACCGAGAGTTATTTTCAAAGGGATCTTAATTTTCTAAAATCACATAAAGCTTACTCTGCTTATTTTACTTTCTCATTTTCTGTGCCTGCTCTTGTTCTCACTGCTCTGGATGTGGGCTTCCAGGAATTACAGAAAAAGGCATATACTCAGATGAATAGCAGGAATCCATTTGACTACCCAAGACACCAATCTGAGATTTACCTGTGATTTCTTGTGTTCAATGTGTGATCTGAACTACTCTCAGATAGGTAATGAAACCCCTCAACCTGCACTTTTCTCTTGGATAATTCACAGCAAACACTTTTCACATGTGATGGACACAGGTAAATATCAGACTGCAGTTTCTTGTCTAAGTGAAATGGATTTTAGTTGCTCCCTTCATGTGCCTACAAGCTGCCATTATCTGTGATAGTGGCTCGTGTCTATTTTAGCCCACACAGAGGAGATGCTGGGCTTCTCTCCCAGATGCCTAATAGTAGGTTTATCACTGCCATTTTCCCCACATGCTGAGGACTACTTCTGTTTGACATGCAAAGCCTTGGCTTTTCAAACGTGTCTCCGCTCTGGCCTTGAACATAATAATCAGATAAGAATTACGGCAGCTTTTTGTAGATCTTGACTTTTAATCATATCAGCCCCCCGTAAAGAATTCACTATCCCTCAGAGTGCTTCTTTAATATAAATAAATATTTCCAGCAGAGTTTTCCATTTTGTCAGACACATTTTCAACATTTAGGGAAACTCAGGAAGAGGCTGAAATGGAGCAAACCTGGATGTATAAGCTAGACTTCGAAGCCTGAGCTGTTCACCCAAGTTTTCTTGTACAAACAGTGGTGGAAGATTCACACCTCCAGAGAGCAGACCTTGTCCAAAGGGAGTTGCTTTGAATTATGTCAGTCAAAATCTAAGAGGATCGCAGCAGGACTTGACACAACTTGAGGTGACTTAGCTTTCATGTGTGGGGCAGTCCCACTAAGGAGAGCTCTGCAGGTGTAGCTCTTACAAGGAAAAGGAGTAGATATGAGCTGAAGTCATGAGAAACAATACAGGCACAGATGCCCCTTTCCTTCTATTTCCCCAACAGAGATATTGGAGAAGACTAGGAATAGACTATTGGTTCACTTGGTAATAAAGGGAAATTGAGCCTCCCAAATAAAAGATGGGAGTTGGAAGCTGTAGATGGAAATTACAGTGTGTTTCTATCTTTTGGATGAAAACCATGTAAATAGTAAGAATCCTATATGCTTATGGTCTTCAGTAGCTAAACAGTCTCTGCCAGAGCCAACCTGTGCCTTCTGCAGCTCATGATCTCTCCCATCCCTTCAGTCCAAAAACATTGCCCATAGTATTTTTTTTCCTCTTCATTTTTTGACTTTTCAGGACTTTTCAGAATGTACTTCTGGCTGTATAACAGATAATAGTGAAAATCCAAGCAGTTTTCAGTCTTGCTTAGCTGCTTGTCCTAGCTAGTCCTTGGCATAGAGATGGGGATGATCTCTGACTGTCACTGTAATACAGTCTGTGAGAGGCAGAACCACAGCAAATAGAGATGAGAATGAGGACATGTACCAAGAAAAATGGATTCTTATTAAGCACAATGTGTTTAAAAGTACAGCACTAAAATTGTGACTGTCTTGTTATCAGGCAAGTTATAATTGCTCCAGCGAATATTCCCTTACCAGCTGCACGTTCAATCCACTGGAGAGTATGTTATTTAAATCAGCACCGTGTCACCTGTATGGCTGCTGAGCAGTACACAGGCAGAATGCAAAAGTGAATATTCAGTAAATTGCCAAGTATGAAGCACCCTGGAAAAGCATTATTTTCTTTATTTGCATCATCATGAAACGTAGGTGGCATTAAATGAGGACTGATGCAGGAGTGGAGTGCTGGCGGTTGTTGGTGATGATGATGCGTGAAGCAGGAAGGGGATGCAATGCAGGGGCAGCCCACTGACCACAGGCACTGATGGCCCGTGCTGCTCAGCCTCTGTCTATAAAATGCTCGTGCCAAGGAATTACTCCAGAAAGAATTTCTGGCATTTCCAATGTAGGCACAGATGCATCCATAAGAATTTCGCTGTAGGAGATGTAGTGTCACATCCTATCACCATTCTTGGTTACCACCACCATCACGATGCATAGGTTTTGCTTTGTGGTTTTTTTTGTAAATAGTAAAAAAAACCTGTAAAACCAGAAGATTACATAGTGGGCATCAGGAAAATGTGTCTCCCTCTGTGTCTGTGACACAGACAGACAGAAAGATGATAGATAATGTGATTACAAAGATATCCATTAGACTGGGAAAGAATACTGTGTGCTTCTGTCTCAGTGTCCGTGTACTCATAAAAGGTGTTGGATCTGTTTAAGCAGTGTTTCTAACACAAGTAATGTTTAAAATTCAGATTGTAAATATTACCATACAGCAAATAACAAGAAATCACGAAGCTAAAAACCAATGACTGAGAATGCTTTTCTGTGGAACTCTAATAAGCCATAACAGAAATGAAATATAATGTAATTGTGATTGAAATATAATATAATTAATTATAATATAATACTTAGTAGTATAACTTCCTGTTACTTCTGTTTACAGCTATTGTAGGATTGGTTCTGCTGAAAAGAAAAATTCGAAAGTTCTATTTTCAGAGGAAACATAAACAATCCATTAATTTAAAACAGAAATTGTCTCTCTGCTGATCCACTGAAATGTTTTTCTTTGAAACTAAAAAAGAAAAAGAAAGAGAAGGCTGTTCAGGAAAAAGTTCTGAGAAATGCCATCCGTTTCACATTGCCTCTTGTAGCATAGCAGCTCTAATGCAAACAGTCCTCTGGAGGTAGACTTTTGGTGCGTTTGTAACACTAGCAAGTTGTTGCTGAAAGCTTTCATTCCGTTACGAAAATTGCAGAGTTTATTACTCTATAAAAAGATTGCAAAATAACTCGTTTTTTAAAAACGAAATCTTGCCTTTTACCTCGAACTGTAAAATCATTAAGCCAGGTGCATGCGTTTCTTTTTCAGGTGACATGAAGCCACATCCCTGGATATCTAAGGTGTGCTCCTGTAAGGTGTGTTAGCAAAGCCTGCTTACCTGAAACAATTAGAAGATGCACAAGAACAGCTAAGAAATAGGACACGTGGCATGGACGTGAAATGGCTCGTTGTACTTATTACTGTGTGCCTTCAACAATTGATTTCAACAAGAATTATCTTCCATAACATCGGCTTCTTCTTGCTGATACATTGACTTCAATTCACAGTTCCATCACTAATAGATTTCTGTTTACTCGATTAAATCTAGATAATTCCAATATAGAAAATACCAACTCTTTCTTTTTAGATGTTTTTCGCTAGTTTAGGTAGTGATCCCAAATCTTACAACTTTGACCACGAAAACATTTGCATCAATTTTAATATTCTTTCATATGCATCAAAGTTAAATTCGTCTCTCTCCTTGATTCTGACTTTTATTACCAATAACATTTTAACACTGAGCAAAACTAGTCGTGAATGAAATAATTAGAAAATTTGGTTGCATTTAAAGGAAAATGCCCATTTTTAATTAAATGTGGAGTATTTAGAAACAACAGAAGCATAAAGAATGTTGCTTGTATAAGACAGCATGAGAAATTGATTGTCAATCTGGTCATTTCTATGGCCTAGATTTTCCCTTTCCATAAAAACTGCCATCACCATCATCTGTGGAAATGTTGTACCCATGTGAAGTTGGAGAAGCCCATTGGAGTCCTCTTCTGAAATGATGTACTTCATTGAATTTCTATTTGTGCTCCTCGGGAAAAGCAGCGATACATTTTTGTCTTTTAAAACCATTAACATTATGTTTGGAGAATATTTGCAGCTTACTACACTCATTTATCACCTGACATTCTGGGACATTTATGCTGGTTTGGCAGAGAAAGGCCACTCAGAGCAGTAAGCTCGCTTTCTGCAACACCAGTGGTCGCAGTGCTAATGAAATCAAAGGGACTTGAGGATGTGCTTTTCTGGATCTGAATCTTATGGTGGAAGTCATGGTCTGATGTTCCCCTTCCTCATTGTCACGTTCGCCATGAGCTGCCTTAACGAGCAGAGCGAGGATTTCTTCAGTGTGGAAAGATTCTCTAGCAGTGAATCTCGTTCTTGCTTGTGGGGAAATGTCATGGCTGCAGGAGTGACCAAACCAGGTTTCTGTTGCCGTAATGTGGCTTCAGTTTGGTTAGACATGAAACAGGCATGAAACCTTCTTTCTTCTGCTTCTTTATATCCCATGAGTCCGTATCTCTAAGTGCAGTGTATGGCAGCAAGGTCTTCAGAAACATTGAGTGGAAGCGCCTTCTGGGAAGTAGAGTTTCAGTTTGTATTCAGCTAAAGAATATGTCATTAAAACAGGCTGCAAGCCAGAGAAGATATTTAATGGTATTTTTCTGTAATTGTAAATACCATGCAGAAAACCGACATCTTTTAACAGAGAAGTCCCTGGTTTTTGCACCTCTGGTATTTTTTCAGAAACAACTTTCCTTATTCTTAGAAGGCATTTCCCTATGTAAAATGTATCTTTGGTTTATATGAGCTTGTATTTGACTTACGGTGACTAAACAATCTGGATGTTCAGTGTTTTGGCTTCATTCTTTCCTTTATTGTGCTGCGTGTCTGGAATAGTTTCATTAACTTATTTATACTTGAACAGCACAAGTGAGAGCAGAACATGTCTTCAGCTGACGTATTTCCTCTTAGCGCTTATGGTTAAGTTAGAGTTGCAAACACCGAGAAGGTAAAAGTAAAATTGCAAATATAACTACAGGAACTTAGTAACACTGCAGGAACCTTGCAGACAGTAAAACAAACGGCAAATAATTGCAACTTGCTATCTCCTTTGTCACACATCCTCGTCAATGGTCACCTCTAGTTTGCTGCAGTCGTCTTCCATTGGCATTGAAAAGTCCCTTTCTCTTCACAGCCAACTACTTCTTTGCATCAGCATCTGCTCACTTGGGCCAGCTCTGTTCTTAGTAGTGCCAGGGTAACAAATCTCCTTAAAACTATTTCTGCTAGATGTTTGAAAACCGATGTGTTCAAAGAGGTCTCATAGCTCAAGGACCTGGCGTTGTCCATAACACTCCGTACTGCTGTAGTAGCACTGCATTTGTGCAACACAATACCTGACTGCTTGTCTTTAATCCTGCAAAGCAGTGCACATCAGCAGACTGCCAATGCAGACAGCCCTTTGGAGTGGTTCGTGGAGCAATGAGGGGTGTTTAGCACATGCTTGTGTGTGCTCTGTTCTAATTATGATTACACTGTCAGTAAGGTAAGGCAGGAACTTTTTTTAATAGGTACATTTATGTCCCAGTAAAGCAAATCTATTTCCCCGTGTGGTCTGGATGTCTTTCAGACAACCAACTTCATGGTATATCCTTAAGATGAACTCTTGCTTGGAACAATCTTTTAGCATCAAAGTGACAATTTTAGAGCTGTATACAAAAATACATACTAACCTCCCACAGCTGTTTCTTGTGAGCCATAACTGAAGAAACATTTCTGTACTGATGCCATCTGATGTGCCACTGTGTTCATGCTTACAGAGGCTGATTTTACAACGAAGATGTAAGGTAATTAAGAATATATTTTTCTATTGTGTTACACTGAAGAAATCCTGCCAAAAAGAGTGATATGCTAATATTTTCGAGTAGTTGTCTCAATTTTAGATGTGTGGTAAAAAATTCGGAATCCCTGGAGTGCTTATGGAACAAGGTCTTTTTTTTAAGTCCAGAAGTCACAGCGTCCAATGAACTGTGTGGCTCAAGTTGCAGTTTCACAGCCAGGGCAGTTTCTCCCCGCTCCAGCCATATGCTTCTACGTCTCCTCAGTTATGTTTGCACGAGCACTTGGGTGACCAGGTCATGGCAAGACAAGCACTGGCGTCAGTGCAAAGAGCAGAGAAGGAACAAGCAAGCCCCAGGGTATGAAGAAGGCAGAGATACCATGGAAGTGTGGGGCAACCCACACGTACAGCAGCGTTATCTCAGCATGACATTGGAGTTTCAGGGTGCTGTATGTAGGCGTCTTTCTTGAAAATAGGCTTGCAGCTTTCAAATCCTATAGGCATTTTTCACATGGTCTGCATAATTCATTATATTCTTTAAAAAAAAAAAGAGAGGAGGTCAATTAGTCTAAGTCTGACCCAAAACTCATTGATGTCTCTTTGATTTGAGGGACTTTGAGTTTTCCAGATGATTCATACTTGCTAGATGGGCACTGACCTAGATTTCTGCCTAGAAACATCCCTAAACTTTGAACTGTTCATTTATGGCTCCAAATTCAAACATTATCTTTTGAAATCTCTTGTGCTATTTACATATTTTAGATTTGATCGTTGAAATCAACTGCTTCCGGTTTTTGGGTTGTATTTTGTTGAGCAATGCTTGTCCCCAGTCTAGTACAAGATGTTCTGAAAGCAAACTGGCATGAAACTTGAAATCTATCTGTGGGATTCAATGTTTCTTTTAAAAAAGAGACACTTTAACAAAGCCACTATGTAAAAGGACTACAAGCTCCAGACATCACGTGAAATCTAGCAGGGAAAATGATTGAGATGGAGTGTTGAGAGTTCAGAAAAGAAGGGAACGAGTGCAGCAAGCAGCATTGCCTCCCCCAGGTCTTTACTCCTTTTGAAAGCCCATGCTCTCTGAAGGCAGACTAAGGCTGTGAGCTCCAGCCCAGATCTCGAAGTCGTCGTGCCCATGCTGAGTAGTACTGCATGCACGTTCCTGGTGGGAATCTGTGAAGACAAAGTCCTGCTTCTTGCAGTGGATATTACTGCTGAATTTTGCAGGCCATTCTACTTGCATGAGAAGAGGATGCAGAGGAATTTCAAGGGCTGGTCTTCCGCTTTTTCTTTCTTCACAGGATATGCAGTCTGACCTGCTAGGCAAAGCTCTTAGCACTATTACTAGAGTTTGAGTTGGTTTATAGTTTAAATTCATAGACCCCCAAAGTGAAACTTAATCAGTCCTATTTTTGGAGAAGTAGTACTGAGCACGGATGCAACACAAACTCCACACAATAACCCAGGATTATCTTATTGGGGACCACGGGAAGTTTGTTTCTTGAATGACACCTGCTGGAAAGTCTACAGTGTGTCGGGGAGCTGTGCTGCAGGACAGAGGCACGGCACATAGAGACTACCTTCCCCGTCTTCTGATGCATCGGAGTGTCCAGGATGCACTGTGATGGGTAAGTACAAATATAGCTGTCACGTTGAAGCACTGTGGTTTGCTAAACGATATTAAACATTGTGAAAATTAACAAACATTTGCAGGGTGGTTTAGAGTAGACTGTGCATTTGATAAAATTCTTACACAGTACAAATTTAACCGCACTTATCTTTATCCTTCGGGTATTTCTAGAAACCTTAGCTTGAGGAGACAGAGTTGTGCAGCCTGAATTTACATCATGTCTTGCAAACACGGGGATAAAAGCTTTTTTCCTTCCTCTGGCAGTACTCTGAATGTGATAGCTGGGAAAAGTAGCATCACTGGAGTAAGTAGTATGTGTCATTTAATTAAGTACATTACTCCCTCTGTTTTTTGGTTTGTTTTTTCTTTAAGCATTTGAAGTCTTAATACTCAGAAAATATTGACAATATCCAGCACTAGTAAAATAATAACATTTTCCTTATTTCTTCTCAAATTTTATCTAAATAACGTGTAAACTTCTTGATAACAAGGACCTGGGGAAATGGTACTCTAAATCGTTAATCATTATGACTTTTCTGCAAGGAAACTTGGGGTAATGAAAGGTTCTGTTCAATTTCAGAACTTTATTTTCTATAATCACTCTGGCAAACAGACTTACAGCTCTGCCCAGTGAGTGCATCATACATATTTTTGTTGTTTGTTTTGGTTTGTAGTCTTCCTGCCATGTAGATGGCAGCAGCACTCAAGCCTTGAAATTCACTCCAGCTTTTTCTCAAGTTTACTCTGAAACACCATGTTTAAGAATATTATTGTCAAGAATGAACAGGAAGGCATGATTACTTTAAAGACAGATGTCAGCTGAGTTATGTATA